TTATTGAGTCTTTCGGACTCTTCTTGCTCAACACGAAGGGCTTCATCGAGACGCCTAACCAATTCTTCCTTCAAGCCTCTTGTTGTTAATCTACGTCTTTTAAGCTCTTCTTTCAATTCAGTAACCTTCCACTTATCAATTGGTCGATTGTCCAAGACTGGATAAGGTGATGACGACATCTTAGCTGATTCTGACATACAAATTCAATAAAATATTCAAGAAATTATAGAAATCTATCTCTCAATCCAAATTAGCCAACAAATCTACAATTACAAAAAAAAGCTTAGTTCTTTAACAAGCCCAATGCAAAAATAAGACAATTTTTAAAAGATGACTTACAGTGAATTGGCTGGAAAATTCTTGAGATGCGTGAACAAACGCCGGAGTAATGTAAAACCCTAAATTCGTAGCATAAGAAGAAGGAAAGATTACAGAGATTGACGATAATCAAAACCCACAAAGGAAGATTACAAATTTCAAATCAGAGGAAACAATTCAAATTTTTTCTCAATTCAAAACCAGAACACGAACCTTGAAAATCGAAATCCAGAGAAAGAGCGAATTGGTTTAGAGATTCTAAGCTTGATGAACAGATAAATCGGACAATGCAAATTCTCTAATCCGTCATTATTTTCTGATAAACAAAAGAAAATCTGGGAAATTTGTGAAGCGGAGGCGAATTCTAGGGTTCTTGTTCGTCGGGTGTTTGATAATTGGGAAAAAAACGAGGACTTAAAGTGAAGGGGTTGCTTTGATAAATACCACCAATTTATATACTAAAATGTCGAAAATACCCTGGATTATACGGCATCGTTTTCATATATACCACCAATTATCTACTAAAATGTCGACACTACCCTTGCTTAGACACGGCGTCGTTTTAACGCTTAAAATCGCTTTGGAAAATTTCTCACCGGAGGCTTCCAAGTCTTCTTCACCGTAAACAAAGTTTCGTCTTCTTCACGACGGAGAGCAACGGCGATAATGCTGCGGAAGTATGGTTTTTTCCTTAACCCTAGAAAATTTGTTTGAATCGGAGATTACATTCGTTTGTGGTGTACAAATTGTTATCGATTCTCTCTTGTTGTAGCGAAATCAAATTTTTGCGTAGGTTTTAGGGTCTGTTTTTGTTGTTGATCTCTCTAAAAAATCGAGTGTTGTTTTTGAGTTTGATTAGCTTGATTTCGTTGTGAATCTTACCGGAATGTGATTTATGTTGTTGCTTTAGGTCTGTTCTTGAGCTGTCTTCGCGTTTGTCAGTAAAGAGATTCCCAAGGAATTTGGGAGCTCAGGTGAGTATTGATTTAATGGTGATTTTAGTAAGTACACTCTTGTTTATGATTGTGTATGTTATGTTTTGCATCAGAGGTTTCATTTGAGTTCTTCGAGAAACGTATCGACTTCTGGTAAAAATGGTCTTCCTGGAGCTAATCCTGTAGGGAAACCAGATGCCTCAAAAGTGGTTCCTCCTATTCCTCCGGTAGGTAAACCAGATGGGTCTAAAGGGAATTCTTCGAAAGTTATTATAGGAGGAGGTGTCGCTGTCGTTGGTGGTTTTCTGTTAGCGTATCAGACTGGGTATTTGGATCAGTATCTAAGGAAAGAAGAGCAGAAACTGAGTGAGCCAGTTAAGTCTGATGCTGTTACTGAAAAACTGGAGGAGGCTCATCATTTAAATGTAGCTCCCGGTGTCGATGATTCTACTGGAAGTAGCTCAATAACGGATGATAAAGCTGAAACGCACCCTGAAGTTACTCATTCTGAAGCGTCTGGGGGAATGCAGACTGACGGAGAAGTGCAACCCGAGTCTGATGTAACACCTGATCGTTATACATATATTTCTTCTAACCAAGAAGAGACACCTCAAGAAAGTGCTATCGATAGAGCAGAGAAAAGCTTGCCTATTTCTTTAGATTATAGCTCTACCTCTGAGGATTCGAGAACTAAGTCTGACACGTCCCCAGATATTATTTCTGAGGCAGAAAATGTGAGGTTGGAAGCTGTACAAAAACCTGGGGACAGTATTGTTGTTAGTGCTCAGTCTAGTTCGGTTCATGGAGAAAGTGAAATGGAATCTGCTTCATCAAAGGATCCTGCCACTGAAAAGGCACCTGAGGTACTAAATTTTCCTTAGTTGAACGGGTGAAACACCCTTGCTTCATGCATTTCATAGAGTTTTTCTTGGTTGGACTTTTTCTGCATTGCATAAATTACTTGCATGGTAGAAGTGAATACTTCTATGTAAACGCATTCCTTAGTTTTGTTCACTTGAATTTGATTTTTCTATGGCCTGTATAAATTATGTAGGATTAACATAAATCTCTGATCAATTGTTCTCTTACAGGAGAACATTGAACGGGAAGTAGAACAACGACCAGGTTCTCTCCTTAAGGAATACAATCTAGAAGGCAATGYTGTTGAAAGCACCGGATCTTCATCWACRGGGGAGCAACTMACTCAAGAAACTGAGGTTTCAAACTTGACTTTTCTGTGTCTTTTACTTACTTCAATGATTGATATTGATGGATAATCCGCGGGGAAATACTTAATCTGGCTTGTTTCATGAATTAGGCTCTTCCTAAGTCAATTGAGGGGCTGAAAGATGGTTACATGACTGAAGACGGAAAGTTGGTACTTGATTTTCTGGCTGCCATTCATGCAGCTGAGAAGAGACAGGCACATTTAGATGCCCAGGTCTTTGCTGACGAATTACGAGCCTTGAAGGTTGCTTAAAAGACGAAATATCTAATATGATTATTTATTCTCTGTAGTGTCTTTACCTTATCGGTTAGAATTTAAACTTATACTCTGCTGCCAATTCTTTTTTACTGTACTCAGGAAAAGTACGAAAATGACTTGAGAGATCTTAGGGCGCGTGAACTAATGCGTATAGAGGAGGCAGCAATATTGGATAAGGTGCTTCTATCTCTTTATCTCTGCTTGATTAACTCACTCCAAAGACACATGTCCAGACACACCGCACATTTGCATCATATAAACATGCAAATGGTATTCAGCTATATATTTTTGCTTCTCTTATTAATTTGGGCGAGTTGATGCAATTTTTCACTGGATTCTTGTAAACATACGTCTAATCTCGGTTTCATTATGTTTCGGGGTAGAAAACATAAGACTAATTCAAGTGCCACTATTGCTTTATTCAGGAGCTAAAAAGAGAAAGAACAAAAGCAGCAGCTGCTATCAAGGCAATCCAAGAGAGAATGGAAGATAAGCTCAAAACAGAAATTGAACAAAAGGTATGCACATTGCACGGGAAACTGAGAATAATAGTGTATGGTGACTTGGAAAGTTATAGCTGATTATTTTTATAAACTGCAGGAAACTGAAGCACAGTTGGCTTTGAGTAAAGCTGAAGAATTGGCAAAAGCTGAGTTGACTTCAGCAATTGCAAAAGAAAAGGCAGCACTAATTGAAAAAATGACAGAAGCAGATCTTGATGTAAGTAAAGACGAAACGCTGTACTTCATTTCCTACTATCCAATGGTTCCAACCTCTTGGTATAGAATACCGCACAGACTGTTTTGAAATATTTCCAACTTACGTAAACTTGCGTCTATCTCATTGTAACTAAGTAGAATTCCTGAATGTTTAGTCATGTCTCCGCATTGTCTTGTAATTTCTATAGATGAAGGCGTTGTGTATGGCATTCTATGCGCGCTCGGAAGAGGCTCGCCAAAGTCATTCAGTTCATAAGCTTGCATTGGTAAGAATCGAATGTAGATTTTGTCATGGATTCATGTGAGTGTCATCTAACTCTGCTTTTCTATAGATATAATAACATAAAATTATGGTTATTGTAGGATGCACTTGCGCTGGATGGTACACTCTCGGAAGGACTGCCAATCCAGAAAGAAATCGATATGCTTCAGTCTGATCTGAAAGGAATTCATAAGGACTCAATCCTAGACTTGGTGTTATCATCTCTTCCAGAAGAAGCACGAACCAATGGAACAGACACAATACTTCAACTGAACCAGAAGGTGACCTTATTATTATTGCCCAACAGAATCAATGATTTTTAGATCTCAAGGGATGTATCAACTTTTGTCTTCTCGTTATTATTTTCAGTTTAACTCCTTGAAAGGAACACTCAGACACTTCAGTCTCATTCCACCTGGTGGCGGAGGAATCTTAGCACATTCTCTAGCACATGTAGCATCTTCGCTCAAGGTATGCTGATCACGAAACAAAATTCTTCCCACAAAAAAAAAACTCTAAAATCTAATCTAAATCTGCTGCTTCTCTTTTTAACCGAAACAGTTCAAGGAAGTGGATCAAGCTAATGGAGGCATTGAATCTGTAATTACTAAAGTCGATAATTACTTGGCCGAGGGAAAACTAGCAGAAGCAGCAGCTGCACTTGAAGAAGGTGTTAAAGGAAGTAAAGCAGAGGAAATAGTCACTGATTGGGTGAAACGTGCACGGAACAGAGCCATTACAGAACAAGCTTTAACTATTCTCCAATCTTATGCAACTTGTGTCAGCCTCACTTGATCATACCCTCTCACATCTTCCATTCAAAGGTACATTCTTTCTTTTTTATAATCCGATACTCGCATTCCTCGAGTTCATTGATTTTGCGGGAAAGTAGTAGTACAAACCCCTTTTTTTGGTCAGAGGAAGAATCAATAGTTGTTACGAGTTACGACTCTCTATTCCTATGTTTATGTCTGGCACTATAAAACAGACAGTGTTTCTTTTAGGATTCGATCACGGGTTTGCTGTTTAAAAAATCGCAGTTGTTCTCGCGAAAGATTTTTTTATCTTGAGTTAGAATGCTACAGAAGTTTGAATCAAAATAAGATGAATTTATGATTAAAAGTTAATTGTTTTCTGCACTGTGATCAGAAGATGATTGTCGATGGAGAAAACATGTGTATCAATTGTAATAAAATTGATTGTATACTATTAAAAGTATATCTTAATTTCACGGATAAAAAATGTCGGAGATGATTGTTGATGAATTTTTTAAATTGAAACCGCATTTACTTTCGGTGAGTGCCCTTTTTGCAATTTTGTTGTGTTCCTAAATCCAAATTAAGAATCTAACACACTAAACCCAAGAAAACAAAGGTCATGCATGTAATCTTTTTTTTTTATCCATATAATTGGTACCTTGTCCTGTCCACATTATAAAGTTTTCAACTATTCTTATTAAGAAGTTTGGACTCTCGTTGCTATAAACAAAACCCTATACTTTGTCATATATTAGGGATGTGTGTAATGCTTTGATATAAAGAAAATGTAGAAGCCTAGAATTATGCCATATACAAACATAATTAGGACATGGATTTTAAATAAAATTTATCGGTTCCATGAAACTTCTTCTCGTCGGTTTCTTATAATTAGAGTGCTTAAATTTGTTTTTGGTAAACGAGTGCTTAAAATTTTGTTATTAATTGTACCGAACATTGAAGGTTTGCTCGACAACTCCAAAACATTATTAAATTTTGTCAGCTAACTTACCACTAATTATTCGAGTGGAGTCTCTTTACATAACTCGAGTCTTTGGAGGATATGATATACAAAATTTAATTTGATAAGCTGAATATTCCCCAGCTTCATTCCGGATAACGGTTTGTGTAATTATTGAATTACGATAAAAAAAAAAATTATAAATACATGAAAAGAGTAATGTATTATTGCACAACCGAACCTTAAAATGAAACAGCTAATTAAGTCGATAGGTGAGGTGGCACAGTTCCTCCAATCAGGAGACAACCTCACACGCGTACTCCAATCAACACCGGTAGATATCTACCACGTATACATATTCAACGATCAAGATCTCTTCTTTTAACGTGTGAAGCTGTCTCAAAGTAAGTAGTAGTAACTTAACCTCCACGATAATCAAATTTGATTTAATATTAAACTGACTATTAATTATGGTTTAGATAAAATTAGTACTAGATAGTTACCCGCGTTATACGCGGGTTAATGTGATACGCGAGTAAAACTAATATAGTTTTAGTTTAAAATCATCTATAATTATTGGAAAAATTATTATACAAAATGTAAAACTCGTTTATATATATGAATTTTGTAATTATTTTGTATAGAAATGTATCCCACCCCGTGAAATAATTGAAACCAACAAATTTTTAGTTTTTAGTCGATATATTTCACTTATTAATGAAATATATTTATTTAATATCATAATCTTCAAAAATATAGTTTATGGATCAAATATACAAAATAAAATTTTACAAATATGAATTGAATTTTATAGGTTTAAGGTAAATTATAAGAGTAAGTGAATATTAATAGCAAACTTTCTTTTATTTTCATTTTTTAAACAAATCAAAAAAATTATTTTGGTTGGAAAGATTGTGTGATTGTGTAGTGTTTGGATAATAGTATAGTAGAGAATTAATAGGATTGTGGAGTGTTTGGATAATAGTATAGTAGAGAATTAATAATAAGATTTAGTTCTTAACTAAAAATTTCAAAAAAACTGAGAGCTTGACACCTAAGCAAATTAATTTAAAAATGTTTCTCCTTTAATATATAGAGGATGAATTGGTTCATGGCTCTCTCCTTCTTTCTGTCTTCCTCTCAAGAACAATATTAAATAAAGATTATTAAAAGTTGTGCGTTATTATTCCATAATCTAATTGTATTCACATGCTGGATTCCCTATACAAACTTTACCTTCTTATATTTTGCTAAATAAAAATAGTTGCAGAAAAACTATTAAAATTCGTTGAAGTAAATTTTTTTGTTCACTTTAATAAGATAATCCGATTGATCAAAAAAATTAGCATTTTTAATCTTTACCTAAACCACAAGGTCTTTGGCATATATATTGCTTACAGCCTAAGTTCTTAAAGATATCTTTTCTATAATTTTATAAAGTGGGCCAAAATTTACATTTTTGTTGTGTCAATTATAAACACAACAACGTAACATACTTTTTTCTTTCGTACCAATACATTAATATATTCTAAAGGCCTATATAAGTCGAGAGAACATGTCTAGCAACTCATTGCAAAATTGAAACACAAACAAATATCCAAACAAACACATATAACACATATATATTGAGAGAAGAAGAAACCTTAGCTTCCTTTATTTTATCTTGTTAACGAAAACAAGCCAAAGATCAAATCAAGAAGATGGGAGTTGGAGGGACATTAGAGTATATATCAGAGCTAATAGGAAATGGAGGAAGCCATAGCTATGGCAAAAGGAAGAAGAAGAAACAGTTTCAGACAGTAGAACTCAAAGTTAGAATGGATTGTGATGGTTGTGTCCTCAAAGTCAAAAACTCTCTTTCTTCTCTACAAGGTAAATTAACTTCTTCCTTTACAACTTT